GATACTATATTTGGAACAATAGAGAGATTTTATACAAACATAAGTCTGTGTTTATAAGTAAGTGGTTTGATAATGGGATTCATCGTGTTTCACAACTTATAAATCCAGCTGGAGGTTTACTCTCTTACTCAGAATTTTTGAATACATATGGTCTTCCTGTTCCACCAAAGGAAAGTTTGATGCTATCCCTGCTGGGGTCTTAATGTTGTTTAGAAATCCTGTTGTTAATGATTTGACCCCTTTACCACTGGATCCTGCTGTTACTTATGTTGGTCAGGTGTGGTTCCCCTCTGTAAGGAGGAAAAACAACCGTGAAATACGAACTCTGTTTCAAAAAGACAGAACTTGTGTCCCAACGGCTGTCGCCTACTGGAATAACTTATACCAGGACCTGGAATGGGAGAAGATTTGGACCTTACCGTTGAAATTTCTATTAAATAACAAAGTAAAGGAAATATCTTTTAATGTTATTCATCGTTTTTACCCAACCAGATCTTTTCTTGTACGTTATAAAAAGGACATTGATGTTAACTGTACATGTTGTAATTGTGTGAAGGAAGATATTTCTCATTTATTTTGGTCATGCTCATACACGAATCTTTTCTGGCAAGAATTTTGTGTTTTTGTTGTTTCCTTTATCTTTTATGAGTTCTCTCTTTGTTACGAGAAAATATTGTTTGGTTTCTTTAACGACCCCATGCACAGGGCAAACAAATTTTATTTGATTAATTTATTGATATTATTGGCTAAATTTCATATACATAAGTCGAAATTTTCTAACGCAAAACCATCCTTTCAGTGCTTTTTAACTGAAACCAAACAATATGTTAAAACCATACAACATTCTCAAAATCTAAAAGCTGTCAAAACCATAAACTTATGTTCCCTGTTCAATATCATCTGATTCTTTAATAGACTGTGTCTATTTTGTTTTTTATACGAACCCCCTGACATTGTGTTTGCTATTTTGTATTTGTATATTTGTATTTTGTGATTTGTCAATAAAGCGTATTCAAAAAAAAAAAGGGGGGGCTGCAGATAGGATACAGGGATACAGCCACAGAGATTAAAATGTGACGCCATTTCCGGAGTAAAACCGCAAAGGATTCTGGGAACGAGTGGCAAGCGGTACTAGCGCACGCAGGCTTTCACATGAAAACAGTCACACCGCAATAAAAAGAAACACATGGCAAGAAGCTGTTGTATTATTAACTGCAATAGCCGGTCGCATGACAGCCACGGGAAACCGACGGGTAAAGAGATCGGTTGTTATCGGATTCAGTTGTGGAAGAGAAATTGTTTAAGCCACGTTTCCGAAGTAACAAAGAGGTGACGGATGGCCTGGATTGCAGCCATTCCAAGACCAAATATAACGTCCCAGAACACTCCAGCTCACATGTTAGTCTGCTCCAAGCATTCCCACAAAGGTCAGTCTTCTGTTGTAGTTAATACGTAATTTATCACAACATAACTGTTGATGTAGGTTACAAATAAGTCTCATATTGATTTGAATTGAATTCGTTGCTATGCTGCTTTGTTCGCGGTGGCTTTGCGGGCTAATGTTTGCCAATTTTTTGATGTGTTTTGTAGGAAAACCAGCCTACAAAATGCAGGAATGCGATCCAGACTGGGCCCCTCTATCAGCCTGGGTTTAAAGCTGCTACCACAGCCAGATTTGATCGGTTAAGAGAGAGAGCGAGATCCAAACAGCCACGAAACGTCTGCATATATGTGCCCAAGTGTTGTATTGAAGCAAGCAAGTTATGAATAACTGTTTTCCAGTATGTTGGAGGTTTTTCATTGTTGATTTGTTTTTCACCGAAGCAGCTAATAAAGCACGATGAAATACAATGTTGCCTCTTTCTTGTAAGATTCTATAACAGAATGAAACAATAATGCCAGTTAAAAATAAAGACAATAATTGAATGAATTACAAAACACTTTTTTTTTTCTATTAGATCTGAAAATGTTGTGTAACACTACAACCTGAAACGACAAATAGATGCGTTGGCCTGTAACAACAGCTGTGAGATGGAATCGTCCAAATCACCAAAGTAAACTGGGCCTGGGCTTGTTGCAGGATCTGAAGTTACTAAACATGTTGTGAGTGTATGCACTCACGCTTAGGACCATATAATAATAAATATGTGCGTGATGAAAGTTGTGCAGCACACTAACATCCTTACTCCGGGATTAAAACCACAGAATTAATGGTTACCGGTGCTGGAAATACTAGTGTTTGATGCAGTGTTATGATTTAGTTGCCACTTGTACCCATAATGCAATGCGCGAAAGTCACGTGGTCTGTCAATCTCTATTCCTGCATCTTTTGGGATCTTACAAAGCTTCAAACGACGCGTCGACTATTAAATTCGTCGTCGACGATTTTGATAGTCGACATAATCATAGCTAGTTCAAGTTCAAATTTTATTCGCCACATGCAGTGGCATGAACTAGTTGACTAATCGTGGCAGCCCTAGTTACCAACTACTTGTTGGGCCATGTAATCTGTAGTGGAATACATTTTACACTGGTCATCTATGATGAGTGAAAACCCTGTGACGGTCTCAGTTATGGTCAGTGTGGAACCCCCCCCCCCCTTCTTTGTTTTGCTCTGTAACTTTGCACTGTCCTCTTTCTGCTGTAACAAAACTAATTTCCCACGTGTGCGACTAATAAAGCTTATCTTATACCTGTGGGTCCTCCAGTCACATGTTCAAGGTGAGCACAGGTGAATGAGTGAGTGAAGATCGGATCAAAGCACATCAGAGTGGACCTGATGAGCCTGTGTTGCTTTAAAGCTCAGAAATTTGCTGCACATGTCCAATAAAAATGTTTTCATGGCGCAGGTGGCCAGGTTACAGCCCCTCAGATGAGACCAGCAGGAAAATAACCAAGTACATTTACTGAAGTACTTCCCTCAAATTTAACATACCTGTAATTTCTGCGTGATGCTGCTTCCTGTTTCTACTGTATTTCTGATGCAGATATTGTGGTTTATACTCTAAACTATTTGGAGTACAGATAATCACCAAGTATAAGTTATGCACAGCTGCTGGATGTAAGAAATGTACACATCAATAATTATGATGCATTAGTAACATGTATATGTTTGTAATGTGGAGCATGTTTGTTTCACGTCTGTGCTGTTATAAGTTTTACTTCAGTAAAAGTCTAAAAACTTTCTTCCCACACAGACTCTGTTTAATCTGCAACTCCACGTGTCTCATGATCAGGCTGCACATCTTATTTCTGATTGGTGTAACAGGTATGTGTCACATCTGATGGTTTTCAGGTGTGTCCTGGATCCTGGTTCTTTCTGCTTGGAGTAAGGTAAGAGGATGGGAACCTATACGGAAGTGCGCGTGCATGCCGGAAAAACATGAAGTCAATTATAGTCAAAGTCAGTAAATTACTGTGTTTTTAAAGAGTCACAACTACATTTTACTTTCTGTTTGTAGTAATTTTAAACATATTTGAATGATTTTTATTGCCAATTAAAACATTTTAAAGTGTGAATATTCCACTTTTTTCTCTCCAAATGTTAGCTTACCATTTTAACGTTTTGTGGTCATTCGATTTGCCCGTTTCTAAGCTCAAAAAGGAGCTTTAATGCATTTGATTTTTTCCCTTTCAAGTCAATTTTCTGGTTGATTATTTTTAATGATTTATTTATTCTTTGCATTGTTTGCCTGAATATAAAAATTCAGTTTTGTATTTTTTTTTTTTTTTACTGCTTTTTATTTCATTGAATTCTTTGATGTTGTTTTGATGATCAAGCCTGCAATCAGCTGATTGGCCGATGGTCTGTCAGCTGTTTGTTCTGTGCTGGATAAATAAAGTTTGGTTGAAGTGAAGGACCAGTGCTTTTGTTTGTTTTTGTTTCCTGTCTGTAAACAACATAAATTAAAAATAAGTTGAAATTCGTCTGGGAGCTCTGTCAGTCTGATGCTAACTGAAAACATCTGGGGGAACATCTGTCCTCATAGGTGAGCTGATTGGCTGCTGAAGCAGATGTGCAGGTTCACAGAAGCTCATTCAGATGAAAATATGAATTCACATCTGTGGGAAAGATGAACAGCAGTATGAACGCGTGAATAAAATTCCTTTGATCGGTAATTTGAATCCATAAACCAAGTTTTCTTTGTATGATGAAATTTACTTTCTAAGGTTCTGTGTTTAAGAAGAGCTTGTTTTCTAAATGTTAATACTTGAAAAATATGGAGATGAAAAAATAAAAAGATTCAAAATGTAAAATAAAAAAAAAGAACACCCAAACTTGGTAAACGAAAAATGAAAAAACAGTGAATTCATCAAAATGAATAAATGAAATAAGTTCATATATAAAAAAGAAGGAATATTACAAGTAAAACTGCCTGCAGCGCACAGCTGAAAACATCTGGAGCTGCTTAATTCAAACATGTTGCTGCCTCCATCCATCGACCCATCATCCACCCATCACTCATCATCCTTTATCCTCCGCTGATGTTGGTGGCAGCAGGTTGAGCAGGGACTCCAGATGTTCTCGTCCTCAGCGACACCTCCGGGCCCTCCTGTGGAATCTGAGGCGCTCCCAGACCAGATGAAGGGGTTTGAGGTCTCCCCTGAGGTCTTCCCCCGGTTAGGCACGTTGCTGCAACAAATTCATGTTGAAGAATCAGAAGTATGATTTCAGGTGCTGAGATGGGTTCTGATTCTGTGAGTGGGTGCAGCTGGAACTTTGAGCTTCGGGCTCCTGTCTGTGTGATTATAACATGTTGCTGCCGCTGCTCCGGGGACAGACGGGGGACTCGGGTGGTTTTGGCGATTCTCTGGCTCTCTCCGGTCCTCGGAGCTCGGTATCATCAGGTTGAAGGTGTTTTGTTGCTGGGGAAGAATCCAGTTCTTCCTCACCTCCCTGCAGCCTCACCCCCACTGTTATACTCAAACTCAGCCAATCAAAAAAAATCACTCCATATATCACTAGGCAGACGTCCACGCTGGCAGCCAATCGGATTGGGCGGCTCGGGAAAGGGCGCAGGGAGCTGAGACAGACCGAGTGACAGCGTCTGAGTCCCGGGGAGGAACATCAGGGAATCTCCGTGGAAAAGCCCCGCAACGCGGTCAAGATGCCTAACAAAACCAAGAAGGAAAAGGTAATATCCGCGTCACTGGCGTGCCCGGGGCATTTTTCCACTGAGATCCGGTGTGGCGGGTGTTTTTTTTTCTGCTGCTGGAGACTTCAGCCGTTTTATTTCACCGAGCTAATGGCTAGCTCACCTGCTAGCTGTTAGCTGGGGCCCAGCTAGGAGAGGACCGCTAAGCTAACGGCTAGCCGCGAGTCTGTGCTCGGCGCCCGCCGCGGACACGCTTCGTTTAACCGCACACCTGCTGAGTGTTTGAGCGGACACTTAGCAGGGATATTAGCGTGGAGCTGGCCGCCGTGATTAGCCGTGTTCTGTTGCCGGAGCTCCGGGAAGAGTCGCTGGCTGTGCCTGAATTATTGATGCAGGGCTCGGCTGAAGAAGAGCGTCTGAGGCGCTAACAGCGGTTAGCCGTTAACTGAGACCACACGATGACCGGTAGATGTCCCGCTGGATGCTGCGATTCCTTGGCTCACAGCGCAGTCTGAGTCCACCTCACACACCCATATAAATACCGGATTAAAGCGATTTGTTTAATGATGCAGCGCTCAGGGCTGATCAGTCATTGATCGTAATGTTTTTTTGTTGCATATACTATTATATATTGTACATATATTTATTAGTTTCAGATTTAGCCATTTGTATATTTTTCCTGTTTATGTTATTGTATTTTGCACAACTCTGTTGCTTGTGAAGCTCGCACACAAGAATTTCACTCGCATGTGCTGTACCAATGTACCTGCACATGTCATGTGACAATAAAAGTGATTTGATTTGATGTTTATAAGCCAGCACTTGTGTTCGGTTCAGCGGATTGTTATCGATTATTTGTTTAGTCTGTAAACTTGAATGGAGCAGCAAGAAAACCAAAAACTGCTGATAAGTAACGGCCACAGTTATTGATTATTGATGATCTTCTCTCTGTGACTCACTGATTAATCGGCTGCTTCCGATGTCCGAATTTTTATTCTTTATTTAAACTGAAAATAATTTTTAAAAAAGGAGGTTTGAAGTCACATCTATGTAATGTAAACGACTCGCTCTATAAATCATACAAAAAACTTAAAACGTAAATTATCATTTAAATTAAAAAGAAAGATGAAAACAGAAAAGTGTACATATATACGTATAAAAATATAAATATATTTAGAGGGAAAAAAACATCATAAAACAATTGGAAACATAGAAAATCAGAATTTGACATCCAAAACATAAATATACAGCTTTAAAATCAGAATCATGTAAATATATAAAACCAAATAAAAACTCTAAGATGCACAAAACCTAATGAAAAATAAAGACTTTCTAAAAAGTAAATATTAGAAGACTAAAAAATGGAAAATCATTTAAAAAGATGATGATGATAATAAATCAAACTTAGGCAGAGATCAGCTACTTTTAAGCTGAAAGGGTTTGGCTTGGTGCTGATTTCCTGTCTTCGGGTGACATGCCTGCAGACTTCCTCACGCTGTGGTGACGCGCACATGGCTGTTGTGACAAACACGGCTGAGATCGCGTGTTAAATATGTGCAATGAGAATGAAGGATTGCTCTGCAGGTGAGAGGGTTCACCTGTGGGAGCACACCTGCAGCAGGTAAGCACATGGTCCCTCCTGCTAGCCCTCAATGTCTACGTGTATTTAAAATTGAGAGGTGGGCAACGACGCTAGGGGTGGGGTGTACACCCTGATGGTAATTTGGATGCCGTGCAGCGTGCCCACCCCCAAGATCCTATATGTATGTGTAATGAGAGTGTGAGTAATGTGAATGTCTAAGTTGTGGGATAACATTGAGGCAGAGGCAGCCAGAAGGGGACAGAGGGGGGGGGGATGCCTCCCCTGCACCCTGGTGACACACCCCTACTCCAAGGCCCTGCATTTGTGGGTGATTGTGGTGGAGCGGGAAGAGGGAGGCAGCTGGAGATGGGGAGGGAAGGAAGGGAGGGGCAAGTGGCCCCTCCCTGGGGCCAGTTCCCCCACTGACCCCAGTAGGCACCCCCATACTCCGCGACCCGCCAGGGAAAGGGGGCCCAGGCCCATCCGGACCGGGGCCCAGTTCAGCAGCACCACCCGGCCCCACAGAGCCCGGGGCAGTCCACCCAACCCGTCTCCTTTCTTCAGGAACTCACTCTGCAGGAGGGGGAGATACAGGAGAGGTGGAGGGAGAACTCAGCCTGGGCATCTGTTGTCTTGTGTAGTCTGGGAGATGAGTGGATGACAGGGTGGGTGCAGTTTTCTCTGTGGTGAGAAAAGGAGGAGACCCCAGACCCCAGTCGGAAGGCGCATGTGGGAGGGACTTCTGCTCGAGTCCCAACCAATCACAGCCACGTCCTCTTTATTGGACGCTCTGTGTGTGTCACGCTCAGCCGGGATGTTAAAAATAATAAATGCTTTCTTCCAGGCAGCAGTCACGTGACCCATCCTAAAGAAATGCTGGCCAATCAGAGTTTCCGACGTGTACGCTAAGACTCGATAAACGCCAACCAGCGCTTCTCCTCCGAGTGAACCAGAGCAGCAGCACAGGCTTCACGCTTTCGGAGTGCTTATTTTGACCTTTTGATCCTACTTCAGGTTCCAGGGCGAGTTACTCGGCTCACTGTGCCGTGTTTGATTTGTTTTTATGACTTTCAGTCTTTTTACGTATTACTGTACGAAGCACATGTATCACAGGCAAGGTTTATCATCAGGGAGGTGGGAACTTTAGCGCACTGACAGTGAAATCACAACAGCTCCTCCATATTTTTACTTTAGTTTTCCAACTTCACAAAATCATTCCAGATAGACTTTCACAATAAGGTCTGTGTGAGCCGCTCAAAGCTCCCTCTGCTCTCTCGGCCAACTCCTCCTCCTAGCCCCCCCCCGCTCCAGCAGGTCGCAGAGAATGGGGGTGAGAGAAGACTCCAAACCTCCCTCCGCCTGCTCATTGTAGTGTTGATGCATGTGTGTTCTAAGGTGCATTTAAAACCCAGGAGGGCATGGAGCTACCTGCCAGAGAGCGGGTTACATCATCACGCCATAACCCCCGCCGGGCTGACACTGATGCAGAATAGAAACAAAAATGTTGGGCTGTGACGCTTCCTCCTCTTCCTCGGTGCTCAGTAAACGTTTCATGTTTCAGCTCAGCTGATTTTCCTCGGCTCTGGTGTGAGTTTGTTCTCACAAAAATCAAAACAAGATCAGCTGATTTATGTTTTTCTCTGTGTGGGAACAGGAAACGACCAAATCTGCCAAAAGCAGCACGAAGAACAGCAGCAGCAACGGCGGCGGCGGGAAGGATGTGACCCCGGAGAACTCGGATGAGGTGAGTGCCGATTTGGTCACATGGCAGCGAGGAGCTGATATGAAAGGTTCCACTTTAAAAAGTCGAGCTGAAGCTCTGCCTGTAGTGATTATATGCAGAGTAATAAAGGTGAAAGTAAATATACTCAAGTACTCCCCCTGCAGGCTGCAGGTATCCCTGCTAGAAATGGTAAATGGCCTGCATTTGTATAGCGCTTTTCTAGTCCCTAAGGACCCCAAAGCGCTTCACACTACATTCAGTCATTCACCCATTCACACACACATTCACACACTGGCGATGGCAGCTACATTGTAGCCACAGCTGCCCTGGGGCGCACTGACAGAGGCGAGGCTGCCGGACACTGGCGCCACCGGGCGCTCTGACCATCACCAGTAGGCAAACATGGGGTTGGTATCTTGCCCAAGGATATTTGGCATGCAGCCAGGAGGCAGCCTGGGATCGAACCAGCGACCTTCTGATTAGTGGCTGACTTGCTCTGCCACCTGAGCTACAGCCACCCCAGAAACAGACAGAGGGTTAAAATACAGCAGCTTCATCAGGTTGTGTGAAGTCAAAGCCTGCCTTCAGTTTTCAGGCCCCTATTCTGTGGAAGCAGCTGCCAGTTTGGATTCAGGAGACAGACACTGCAGCTGTGTCCAAATTCAGGGGCCGCATCCTCCTGAGGACCTGGCCTTCTCGGTCTACGTGGGCCGCAGGGCCGTGCAGAGGTTTAAAGGGGCGGGTGCTCAAGCCCCTCTAGCCCCCCCTCTGCACGTGCCTGGTGGGCCGGGTCCTCCGAAGGCCGGAAGTGCGAGGCTGTGAAATGTGACTTCAGATTAACGTCCCGGCTGTCTCGGTGGAGTTTAATAAACTCGTCCGTCTGCTCCTTGCTGGCGTAAACTCTCGGCTGTCTCACACTTCTGTTTAATCAGTTTTCTGTTTGACGTTTTTTCAGCTGTGTGAAAACTATAACTTTAATCTCAGCCAAACCGATTTACTCAGGAACAAATCAAACACTGAAAAAAGCCAAACAACAACATTTTTAAGTTATCCGAGTGACTCATAAATCATGGTTAACCTGAGTAGTGAAGACCACGGAGGGTTTGAAAATGATGTGCACTGAATCATTAGTCATTATTAATCTCTGTCTCTCTTCCACATCATGTCTTTATCTTGTCTTCCTCCCCTCACCCTAACCGGTTTCTCAGATGGCCCCGCCCCTCCCTGAGCCTGGAGGTTTCTTCCTGTTAAAAGTTTTTTCTTTCCACTGGCACCAAAGCGCTCGCTTACAGAGGGTCACATAATCGTTGGGTTTTCTCTGTTATTAACACAACAGCATCAACTTCCGGCAATTTCCATGCCGTAAAGAACCAACTTTCCGTCTCCGTGTACATCCCTAACTGTGATGGGTGGAAACACTGTCTCAATAAGCCATTGGTTATGCAAAACCCAGGCTGTGGCTTTGGGCGTGGCTACTACAACATCTTCCTGCTATCAGGGTCTTCACTGTACCATCACAAAGAGGTTTTGTTGCCTCGTGAAGGAAACAGTTTTTAATGTGAGTCCTTGTTGACACAAAATGTCATCAGAGGCTGAGCAGTTTTGGGTTCTTTTTCTAACTTGAATGCTCTTTTCATTGTTGTTTTTTGCTGTCTACTTGGTATATTTGTATCCTTTTCCTAATTTTTGTTTCCAACACTTCGACATGACCCCAAGGCCCGCTTCCACGGACTACTTCCCCGAGGAAATACTCCGTGGACACGGAAATCGAAAAACTCACAATAACAAGGTAACCAGGAGGGGATAAAAGAAGAGTGGGGTGAGAGCCAGACTAAAGAGGGAGACACACAAACAACGAGCGCTCCCGTCCATTATCCTCGCTAATGTGCGGTCTCGCCGCTCCAAGCTGGACGAGCTGCAAGCCTGCGTCAATCACCTGCATGGGTACAGAACTGCCTCCGTTCCGGCATTCACAGAATCGTGGTTAAACAACAGCGACGACAACGGCGCGCTGCACATTGATGGCTTTTCACCATCTCTTCGTCTGGACAGAGACCGCGAAGCAACATTGTGGCGGCGTGCGTCTGTATGTAAACAACAGCTGGTGCTCTACAGTCACTGAGGGAGAAGCTGTGCACGACAGACATCGAGCTCTGGCTGTTTCCCTGCGCCCCTACCACCTCCCCAGAGAATTCCCACAGCTTTTCATCATCCTGGTTTACATCCACCCCTAAGCTGATGCAGCCAAAGCCACAGAGTACTTCACCAACACTCTGTACAAACTGGAGCAGTTATCAACGGACTCTCCCAAGTTCATCCTGGGTGATTTCAACCACTGCTTCCCTGACAAGTCGCTTAAAGGATACCAACAGTATGTTTCATGCAGCACACGTCAGGGGAAGACTCTGGATAAATGCTACGGCTCTGTACCAGATTCATTTAAAGCTCCACTCCTCCGCCCTCTCGGCTCAGCAGACCACCACACCATCCTGCTGGCCCCTGCTCACACCCCAGTCATCAAGAGGATTAGAAAGGTCACCAAAACATCAAGCAGCGGACAGAGGAAAGTATCCTCACCCTACAAGGATGTTTCGAAGCCACTGACTGGGGCAGCCTTCTGTCTCCCTCTGATGACATCGACAATCAAGTCAACACGGTGACATCATACATCTCCTTCTGTGTCCTCAAAAACAGTCTCCATCTACCCCAACAACAAACCCTGCATCACCAACGAGCTCAAGGAAATCCTTTCATAAAAAAAAGAGGATTTTCTTCACCGGCTCTGCTCTGGATTAAAAATGGTAAATGGCCTGTATTTATATAGCGCTTTTACTAGTCCCTAAGGACCCCAAAGCGCTTTACATATCCAGTCATTCACACACACATTCACACACTGGTGATGGCAGCTACATTGTAGCCACAGCCACCCTGGGGCGCACTGACAGAGGCGAGGCGGCCGGACACTGGCGCCACCGAGCCCTCTGACCACCACCAGTAGGCTACGGGTGAAGTGTCTTGCCCAAGGACACAACGACAACGACTGTCCGAGCCGGGGCTCAGACCGGCAACCTTCCGATTACAAGGCGAACTCCTAACTCTTGAGCCACGATCGCCCCGGAGGTCGACGGGGAGGTCAAGAGGCCATAAAAACTGTAACTGGAGTATAAAAACACAGTTGAAACCAAATTCACCACAGGGGACCTCCACTCAGCCTGGCAGGGCCTCAAAACCATGGCCTCTGTGAACGCTGCGGTCACCACCCCCAGAACCATCCAGGTGGAGGGCAGCAACCCCTCCTCCCTCCCTGACGACCTCAACGCTTTCTACACCAGGTTTGAGACGGACAACATCACCCAGCTTGAGGAGTCCAGATCCTCAGTCAAACCTGGCAGCTCTGCACTCACCTTCAGGACTGAGGACGTGGTGAGAGCCCTCAGGAGGACGAGGGAGAGGAGCTCAAGCGGCCCTGACAACATCAGCAGTCGAGTTGTGAGGCACTGTGCAGGGCAACTAGGAAGTGTGTTCTGGACTCTATTTCAACCCTCAGTCGACAGTCACACCGTCCCCCAGCTGTGGAAACACTCCAGTCATCCTCATCCCCAAAAGAAACAACACAAAGTCTCTGAATGATCTTCATCCTGTGGCCCTCACCTCCCTGGTGATGAAGGCCATGGAGAAGATCATAAAACAGCACATCGTAAGAGCAACTGGTTAAATATGCTGACGACACAGTTCTCCTGTCACTGCTGTCAGGCCCTCACAGCACCACGGGCCTGCTCTGCAGGAGTTTGTAGAGTGGTGTGACAGCTCCAAACTTGAACTGAAGGTGAGCAAAACCAAAGAGATGGTGGTGACCTTCTCCAGTAGGCAGAGGGATCTGGCTGCTTCAGTCACCACCACCATCCACAGGAACAGTGGCGGTAGTTGAGGAGTACAAATACCTGGGAACCATCTTTGACAACCTCCTGAAATTCTCTGCCAACACAGAGGAGATGCCACCAACAGCTATACCTCCTTAGGAAACTCAACTCCTTTGGAGTCAGCACCCCCATCATGTTGACTTTTTACGATGCCTTCCTGGAAAGCATCATGACCTCCATCAGCTGCTGGTTCCCCTCCCTCAGCCTTCATACAGGAACAGACTGCAGCACACTGCATCAGTGTGCTCTACAGTCATTGGCCTGTCATTGGAACTCTGGCAGGTTTTCAGCCAACAGGTCCTTAGACAGGCAGCCAAAATCATCAACGACCCCTCTCACATTCTTCACCCCGCATTTCAATGGCTCCCCTCTGGGCGACGCCTCCGCTGCATTTCCTGCAGGACTGAGAGGAGGAGGAGGAGCGCCACCTTTGTCCCCACAGCCACTCTGCTTTTTAACTCCAGCAGATAAGAACATTTCCCACAACAGAAACTACACTCTTCTTATTCTACCGACACTTCATTCACTTTTAGTCACTTTAATTTTAAAACTGTGTAATTGTAAAACTGTATATTCTATTTCACTCTTATTGCCTGTTCTTATTGTCCTTATCTTTAACGTTATGCTGCACTGTTGTTGGTTAATTGCCCCTTGGGGATAAGTAAAGTCTTCTGATTCTGAGACATTCCTCGCCACCACACGCCACCCATCAGTACCATGATGTAGACGCGTGGTATCAAACGGCCCTCAGAGGCTCATTCAGGGGAGCAGGTACAGCAGGTCATCTGATAATCAGAAGGTTGGTGGTTTGATCCCTGGCTGCACCAGTCTGTGCCACAGTGGCCTTGAGCAGGATGCTGAACTCGGAGCTGCATTGTGAGTGTTATATAGAAACCGCACACTCAGGGAGTGTTTAAGAACCAGTCTGTTCAGAGCAACACAACTCTTCTGATTCTGTCTCCATGAAGCCTCTGTGACTCTCACCTGTGTGCACCTTTTCATCACTCTGATTTAGTGAGCGGCTGCTGCAGGTTCTTACTCCACTGCAGCTAACCTGAAAATAACTGGTATTGATAGTTGATCAATACAGCACAGAGGTCCAGAACGGGAAGTGCCATAGATTCAAGTCAGATATTGAATGGCTGGTGTTTGTTCATTAACATCAGCGACACAAACGGATAATTAAATATCGGCTCGCTGTTTCCTCTGAAACCTGTTTTATAACCTGTGCGTGTGTTATCAGTCCCAGCAGCAGAGCGGCAGTAAGCGTCCCAGTAACAGCACGCCGCCTCCCACCCAACTCAACAAGATCAAATACTCCGGAGGTCCTCAGCTGGTGAAGAAAGAGCGCCGCCAGAGCTCGTCCCGCTTCAGCCTGACCAAAAATAGAGAGTTACAGAAGCTGCCCGCCCTCAAAGGTAACACAGTTCCAGCTTAAACATAATGCAAACCCAAGTTAAACTCATCTTGAACCAGAACTAAACCTGGTAGTGTCACTCAAACCTGCTGCAGGAGGGGTCTCTGCTGACTGCAGCAGTGGAATCAGCTGACAGCGGCAGTGGAACCATTTACAGTAGAATCAGCCGACAGTAGAATCAGCCGACAGTAGAATCAGCTGACTGCAGCAGTAGAATCGGCTGACAGTAGAATCAACAGCGGTGGAATCAGCTGACAGTGGAATCAGCTGACAGTGGAATCAGCTGACAGTGGAATCAGCTGACTGCAGCAGTAGAATTCTCTGGCTGTAAATAGAACCAGGTGATTGGCTGTAAAGCATGTCAATGGTAGCGCATGTGCTTCATCAGTCGGTGGTTCTGGTTGGCTGGACCTTCATCACATTTGGTGAGATCACTGATGATGTCACCACCACTGTGTGTTGTGTGGTTGTTTTTGACTCCTCCCCTCTCAGACGCACCACCGATAGAGCGAGAGGATCTATTCGTGCAGAAGCTGCGTCAGTGCTGCGTGCTCTTCGACTTCATCAGCGACCCCCTCAGCGACCTCAAGTATAAGGAGGTGAAAAGGGCGGGGCTTAATGAGATGGTGGAGTACATCACGCACAACAGTGAAGTGGTGACTGAGTGCATCTACCCCGAGGCCGTCATCATGGTGAGAGAATGGTCTCCACCACAGAAGAACTACTTCTGGTTTGTTACTCTGTAATTAAAAAAAATAATTTTCTTTTCTTTTTTTTGTTCAGTTTTCAGTCAACGTGTTCCGGACACTTCCTCCGTCCTCCAACCCGACCGGAGCAGAGTTTGACCCTGAGGAGGACGAGCCCACGTTGGAGGCGGCGTGGCCTCACCTGCAGGTACTTCCTGTCTGTTAAAAGATGCAGTGTTTGTGGCATTTGTGAGCTAATGCTAAAAACTAGAACCATCAGCAGACACTTAGAAACCTCAGAAAACGAGAGCCAGGCATCACATGGAACCACAGAAGAAGAGAAGGAGAGGGAACCATAGACACATGAGCTTGGTAAACATTACTTCCTCTCTGGACGCTGCTCTGATTTCTTAAGCTAATCCATGCAGGAAGCAGTGAGCAGACCATAAACACAGTCAGTGACACTGCACAGTGTTCCAGCTCAGACCCAGACACACACTCAACAACATAGCTGTGCAGAGAGGACCTCTACACTGGAGACACCAGACAGTTCATAAACACGGTCACTCTGAGGACACCAATGTCCACATGTAGGACAGAGAAGACAGATGGTTTGAAAGAGGAGTGAAAGAAGCATCTATGTTCACTGTGAATGTCCATCTTTGAAAAGAGGGCGGGGCTTACGACACCAACTTTCTGCCATCTATAATCCAGTTTTGAGATCCCTTCCCAGACGCCTTAACGCCCACTCACATCCTGGGCCATCTGACCTCAGGAAATCACATGATAGGGTGGGGCCAGGTTTCACAGTGGGTTCACCTAGAGCAGGGTGATATGACCAAAAATATTTATCACAATATACATTTGAAAATTTGCGTAACGATATAACTGACGCTCCTCCTTGAATCGCTACCTTAACGTGGTGGAGGGGTTTGTGTGTCCCAGGGATTCAGGGGCTATGTTTTCTGGGGGCTTTTGCGCCCTGGTAGGGTCTCCCATGGCAAATTGGTCCTGGGTGAGGGACCAGACAAAGAGCGATTCAGAAGACCCTTATGAAAAGAATATCGAGGGAACAGTTTACCCTGCCCGGGATAGGGTTACCGGGGCCGCCCTGGAGCCAGGCCCGGGGAGGGTGCCCGAGGGCGAGCGTCTGGTGGCCGGGCCTTAGTCCATGGGGCCCGGCCGGGCACAGCCCGAAGAGGAGACATGGGCCAATCCTCCCGCAGGCCCACCACCCGCAGGAGGCGCCATAGGGGTCGGGTGCATTGTGTGACCCCCGGCTGCCAAGACTGGCAATAGGGACATGGAATGTCACCTCTCTGGTGGGGAAGGAGCCTGAGTTAGTGCGTGAGGTTGAGAGGTACCGGCTAGATATAGTCGGGCTCACCTCTACGCATGGCTTGGGCTCTGGAACCAGTCTCCTGGAGAGGGGCTGGACTCTGTCTCAGTCTGGAGTTGCCCCTGGTGAGAGGCGGCGGGCTGGAGTGGGTATTCTAATATCCCCTCGGCTTGCTGCCGGTACGTTGGGGTTTTTCCCGGTGGACGAGAGGGTTTGTTCCCTGCACCTTAGGGTCGGGGAACGGGTCCTGACTTTCATCTGTGCTTATGAGCCGAGTGGCAGTTCGGAGTACCCAGCCTTCTTAGAGTCCCTGGGGGGGTGCTGGAAGGTGCTCCACCTGGAGACTCTGTTGTCCTGCTGGGAGACTTCAATGCTCACATGGGTAACGACAGCGAGACCTGGAGGGGCGTGATTGAGAGGAACGGCCTCCCTGATCTGAACCCGAGCAGTGCTTTGTTATTGGACTTCTGTGCTAATCACAGTTTGGCCATAACGAACACCCTGTTCGAACATAAGAGTGTCCATAAGTGCACGTGGCACCAGGACGCTCTAGGCCGTAGGTCGATGATCGATTTTTGTAATCGTATCACCAGACCTACGACCATATGTTCTGGACACTCGGGTAAAGAGAGGGGCTGAGCTGTCAACTGATCACCACCTGGTGGTGAGTTGGATCAGGTGGCGGGGGAGGATGCTGGACAGACCTGGTGCACCTAAACGCGTAGTGAGGGTGTGCTGGGAACGTCTAGCAGAGGCCCCGGTCCGCGGGATCTTCAACGCACACCTCCGGCAGAGCTTCAACAGCATTCCGAGGGAGACTGGGGACATTGAGTCCGAATGGACCATGTTCAGCGTCTCCATTGCCGAAGCTGCTGCATTGAGCTGCGGCCGCAAGGTGGTTGGTGCCTGCTGTGGTGGTAATCCCCGAACCAAATGGTGGACACCAGAGGTGTAGGGAGCCACCAGGCTGAAGGAGTCCTATCGGGCTTGGTTAGCCTGTGGGACTCCGGAGGCAGCCGACAGGTATCGACAGGCCAAGCGGAATGCGGCTCAGGCAGTGGCTGAAGCAAAAACTCAGGTGTGGCCTCTCGGTTCGGAGAGGCCATGGAAAAAGACTTTCGGACTGCCTCAAAGAGATTCTGGCAAACCGTCAGGCGTCTCAGGAGGGGAAAGCGGTGCTCTCTACCTGCACTGTGTATAGTGCTGGCGGAGCGCTGCCGACGTCAACTGAGAAAATTGTCAGGCGGTGGAAGGAATACTTCGAGGACCTCCTCAATCCCACTGACACGTCTTCCGAGGAGGAAGCAGAGTCTGGGGATGAGGGGAATGACCCGCCAATTTCCGGGGGCGAGGTCACTGAGGCAGTTAAACAACTCCTTGGTGGCAGAGCCCCTGGTGTTGATGAGGTCCGCCCCGAGTTCCTGAAGGCTCTGGACGTTGTAGGGCTTTCCTGGTTGACACGCCTCTGCAATGTTGCGTGGAGATCAGGGGCAGTACATGTGGACTGGCAGACCGGGTGGTGGTCCCCCATCTTTAAGAAGGGGGACCGGAGGGTGTGTTCCAACTACAGGAGGATCACACTCCTCAGCCTCCATGGGAAAGTCTATGCCAGGGTGCTGGAAAGGAGAGTTCGTCCGCTAGTCGAACCTCGGATACAGGAGGAACAATGCGGTTTTCGTCCTGGTCGCGGAACACTGGACCAGCTCTTTATCCTCTCGAGGATACTTGAGGGTGCATGGGAGTTTGCCCAACCAGTCTACATGTGTTTTGTGGATTTGGAGAAGGCATTCGACCGTGTCCCTCTGGGTTTCCTGTGGGAGGTGTTGCGGGAGTATGGGGTGTCTGGCCCATTGCTACGGGCCATTCGATCCCTATACAACCGTTGCAAGAGCTTTGTTCGCATTGCCGGCAATAAGTCGGACTCGTTCCCGGTGGGTGATGGGCTCCGCCAGGGCTGCCCTTTGTCTCAGGTTCTGTTCATAATTTTTATGGACAGGATTTCTAGGCGCAGCCAAGTGGCGGAGGGCTTTCGCTTTGGTGGCCTCAGAATCTCATCTCTGATATTTGCGGATGATGTGGTTCTGTTGGCTTCATCGGGTGAGGGCCTCCAGCTCGCACTGGAACGGTTCGCAGCCGAGTGTGAAGCAGCGGGAATGAGGATCAGCACCTCCAAATCTGAGGCCATGGTTCTCAGCCGGAAAAGGGTGGAGTGCCCACTCCGGGTTGGGGATGAGTTCCTGCCCCAAGTGGAGGAGTTCAAGTATCTCGGGGTCTTGTTCGCGAGTGATGGGAGAAGGGAGCCGGAGATCGACAGACGGATTGGGGCTGCAGCTGCAGTAATGCGGACGCTGCACCGGTCCGTCGTGGTGAAGAGGGAGCTGAGTGTAAAAGTGAAGCTCTCAATTTACCGGTCGATCTACTTCCCTACCCTCACCTATGGCCATCACTGTGGGTAGTGACCGAAAGAACGAGATCGCGGATACAAGCGGCAGAAATGAGCTTCCTCCGAAGGGTGGCTGGCCTCTCCCTTAGAGATAGGGTGAGAAGTTCGGCCATCCGGGAGGGGCTCAGAGTAGAGCAGCTGCTGCTCCACATCAAAAGGAGTCAGCTGAGGTGGTTCGGGCATCTGACAAGGATGCCCCCTGGGCGCCTCCTGGGTGAGGTGTTCCAGGCATGTCCCACCGGGAGGAGGCCCCGGGGCAGACCCAGGACACGCTGGAGAGATTATATCTCTCGGCTGGCCTGGGAACGCCTTGGTGTTCCCCCGAATAAGCTGGAGGAGGTGGCTGGGGAGAGGGAGGTCTGGGCCTCTTTGCTTAGGCTGCTGCCCCCGCGACCCGGTCTCAGATAAAGCGGATGAAGATGGATGGATGGATATAACTGACGATATAATTGACACTAGACAAAATACTTTACAATTCCACAACTTTATTAGTGCAAAAAACCCATCAGTGTATTTTCACTTAACCCATTAAGACCTACCATAGAACCAAGTCCACCAGGATTGATTTTAAGTGCGCCATATTTTCCAAACAACACGGTAATAACGACGGCCCGCTAGCATGCTCTACCAAAAATAGTGCTTTGTTGTATATATGTGACGGATGAAAGCTAAACCAGTTCCACACCACTGAAGTTGCAGCATTTTTACAAACCAGTTCTGGTTCATCCGTTTCATTCAACGATCCGCTCTCGCTCTTCTCATTCTGCGTCACTGCCATGTGCGTATGTAAACAAAGGCACTGCGCATGTGCGTTTTACCCATATTCTATCGCCATATTTGATTTTCCTATCGTTGCCCAAAATTACACCGGTATTACCATGAACGGTATGATATAGCCCAGCCCAAGGTTCACCTGAAAATGTGGCTGATTGTGACCCACACCTGTTCACACCTTGGCTCGTGTGATTAGGCACAGGATTCATAGGGGGTCAGCGACCCTCTTGGGGGGGGACACTCCCACAGGGCTTTAACCTGTGACCCTCCACCATTTGACCAAAGAACTGAAGAAGTTTCTCAGATGAAACTTAAAGAAGTCAAGATGCTTTTCCCCCCAAGCTCCTTGGACTACGATGACCTGGATAACTGAGAACCTTCACAGATGGCTAAGGAGCTACAGCCTCCTGTGTCCCCATCCACCCAAAAGCCCCCCCCCCAAAAAAAAAGAGTGGTGAAATGATCAGTTTTTACATTAGCTGTGATCATGTTTATTCCTGCTGTAAGGCTGAACATCCTGGTCTTTGCCAAAGCTGCACCTGTCAGAACATGACCTGTTTTTGTCCAAAGACCAACGTGTGTGTGTGTGTGTGTGTGTGTGTGTGTGTGTGTGTGTGTGTGTGTGTGTGTGTGTGTGTGTGTGTTCACAGCTTGTGTATGAGTTCTTCCTTCGCTTCCTGGAGTCTCCGGACTTCCAGCCGAACATCGCCAAAAAATACATCGACCAAAAGTTTGTACTGTTGGTAAGACGTCAGCTGTTAGTGTTGGTGTCAGAGTTCAGGTGTGGCAGGTGTGACCTGTGGACCTCTGACTCGTTGAATTGTGTTGAAGCTGCTGGAGCTGTTTGACAGCGAGGATCCCCGAGAGAGAGACTTCCTGAAGACCATCCTGCACCGGATCTACGGCAAGTTCCTTGGCCTCCGCGCCTACATCCGTCGCCAGATCAACAACATCTTCTACAGGTTAGAGTCCACACACTCGGACAGAGCCACGGGCTGTTTGTCAATACTGAAGTACGCAGGTCCGTACTTTGTAATTTCACACCGGAGTCCAGACTTCCTGTGAACACGGTGCAATTGTTCGACAATATTTGCAATACAGAATGACACGAGACATAAAACAATTCCACATGATGTAGTAGATTTCTTTAAGAAACAAAAAATATACTTTTTTAAAGCACTTTGGCAAAATTCACTTTTACGTGTTATCTGTTTCATAATGTCTAATAAGCTTCATACAGTTAAACACAATCACTACATGACAGAAACACAAGCTTCATCTCTCTTAATAAACATAATACACATGTATGTGTGAATAGAAACAAACAGGTGGGATGTTGGAACACTTATTTTTATTTTAGTAAACACTCAAAACCTACAACAGAGAGCTGCTAGTGTTTGGAAGAGAACTGAACAAATGTTTAAACTATAATCTGATCATTGTTGGAGCAGCCTTCAAGATCTCCACGTATTAACATCTGTTTTTGTTCCCGGGCAAAATGTTCCCAGATATCCGAAGGTTACACAGCTACATTCTCGCTTAAAATATCTTAAAGGTTTACTTTGTGTCACAGAAACAGTCATGTTTCGAACCTTTTAGCCACTCTCCTCCGCCTTTGCCGCTTTTTTCTTTTGGACAAAATGCATTCTGGGATATTTGGCTGCACCAAGTCCACACTTTCATACATTACTGGGTTTTTCCTGTGAGCCAGAGCCAAAGGAGCATGGCTGTCACTGAGATTAAAACTTTATCCCAGGTTCATGTGTTTGTGATATACAGACACAGCTGGAGGACCGAGCTTTGGGCTGTTTGATTGAATGTGATCCTCGGAGAAGAGATTAGAGCAAAGTGAGCTGCAGCTGCTCTGTGTGCTGTGCAGTTGTCCTGTTTTTGGTTGTCTTCGGTCCAGATGCTGTAACCACCTATGATCACAAAACATGTCTAAATCCCAGTTTGACAGTGACCAAGATGATCCAACAACTTACCAATCAACGCAGCCGTATGTACGTGGGAATCTACCCTGGTTACTCAGCGTTCCTCTCCCCAGAAGATGCCAGACGAGGAGCAGGGAGGTGTGCCCGTGCGGGTCAGAACTCACCTGAAACGTCTGATCATCGCTCTCGGGGTGATGGGTTTTCGACACTTGGAAACTGTTGGACTGTCTGTGGAATTAAGGCCAATTGCTTCACCAGCCGTCACGGAGCATCCCACACATGGCGGGGGATGTGCGATTGTGGAGGTGGCCTGCTGGAACGGGACGCGGCCTCAGCGTGCAAAGATCCGAATGGCTCTGTTGAATGCTAGATCGCTGGCTAACAAAACTTTCCTTCTCAGGGACTTTTTTGCCATCCCGGACTTGGATTTTCTGCGTTTAACTGCAACGCGGCTTCATGCTGGTGAGTCTGCTCATTTTTCCGAGCTTCTTCCACCCAGCTGTTCTGTTTGTAGGTCCCTGCAGACGTCTGTGCTGGAATAGCTTCCATATTTAAATCCAGTTCTCAGTGTTGTCAGGTCTCGGCAGATCTTTCGAGCTGCAGCAGGTTGGAGTTAAACTCTTCCTCCCCTGTGCTTTGTGCGGTTGTTTACTGACTACTAAAGAGGGTAGCTTATCAGTGACTTTGGTGACTGGTCTCATACTAAAATACAACTGTTTTTTAAGATTCGTGTTTGTTGTGAGAGTGGACTGCTGGTTAAAGACTTTGTGTTCCTACACAAGAAAACCCTGGATGTGACACAGCTATATCAGGCTGTTTCCTGTTTTCAGCCCCGGCTCTGCAATAAAGCTAGCATCCTCTGTGAGACGTGTGCACATAGTTAGTCCTTCAAGTGTTGCAGATTTTATCACTGCTTTTAAAAACTATGACTTTTGGACTTCCACGCAAGCTTGACTACCGAGGACCGTATTTCCGTGCACTGCTGTATTGGCTGTATTTTTTTGCCCCTTTTCTAACCAAATGGACTAAACCGTCCTGTCAGGGACCGGCCGGCGCTCTAAGACCTACAATCCCTGGAGAGCAAGCTCGATAACCTAAGAGCAATAGTCACCTTCCAACGTGACATGAGGGACTGCAGCATTCTGTGCTTCACGGAGACATGGCTGACCCTCACCGTGCCGGACCAGGCCGTAACTCCGTCGGATTCATTCTTTGTGCTCCGCGCGGACAGAACGGCAGAGTCGAACAAAACCAAAGGTGGAGGAGTGTGAAAGTGGTGTGATGCCAGGAGCATTTCTACTCTTTCCAGCGGCTGCTCCCCACATCTGGAATTCCTGAGCATTAAGTGCCGCCCTTTCTATCTGCCCCGTGAGTTCACCTCGATCATCGCCACGGTGGTCTACATCCCACCGCAAGCGGACAAAGGTATGGCTTTGTCCGAATTACATGACATGCTGAGTTCGCTTCAAAACAAGGACCCCTCATTGTAGCAGGAGACTTTAATAAAGCAAACCTCAGACAAGTCATGCCGAACGTTTACCAGCATGTCTCGTGTCCGACGAGGGGGGATCGAATTTTGGACCACTGCTACGCGCCATACAAGCAGGGCTACAAAGCTGTCTCACACCCGGCTTTTGGGAAGTCTGACCACAATGCCATCTTTCTCATTCCGCAGTATAAACAAAACATACGGAGGGAAGAAGTAACCACAAGGGAGGTGAAATATTGGTCTGCCCAATCAGAAGCTACGCTACAGGACGCACTCAACGACGTAGACTGGGACGTGTTTAGAGCACGTGCAGTCGACATGAGTTTCAGGAAGTAGCAGTTAGCGCAGGGCTATATGGCCAAATATATTTATCACAATATATATTTGAAAATTTGCGATAATGATATAATTGATGCGAGACAAAATACAACTCCACAACTTTACTAGCGCAAAGAAAACCCATCCATTTATTTTCACTTAAACAAGCAGCTGTTTTTATGTGCATTAAAGCTATATAAACATTTAACAGTGCAAATGCAAATTCCTTGCTGAAAGTTTAACCAAAAGGCATTTCCAGTAGAAATGGGCTGACATATCCTGAGCATAACCATGTATAATATCCACCGAAGTTAAAAAGAGGTGCTTTGCAACATTAAACTGCAGTGTGCCAAATAAAAAAAGTCAAATACGTATTTTTTGGACCATAAGGTGCACGGGATTATAAGGCACATTAAGCGAAACAAAGCAGTCAGATAAATCAAACTCACACTTCTTGCTTCCTCCACTTCTGTACCATTGATTCATTAATGCTGTATTCTATCACCGCTGCTCTATTCCCATGTTGTTTCAGTATATGAATGACTAACCTCGTATTGTGGATGGATTATCTCAGTTGTTCTCCTGACTGAAGTTTGGTGTTTACAGCATCCTGCCATGCGATTGCATTTGTCTCTAACCATGAGGAACCTTCACGTTAACTTTTATAAGTGGAAAAGTGTTAGTGTTCGTCCTCCAGCTTCACTGTTTATATTATGCTAACATAGCTGTGTCGCTAGCGATCACGTAGCACATCATTACATACCAGCTAGCCCAACATTATATACCAGCTAGCCCAACTTCAGTAACCCTACAGACGTCACTGCTGTTTAGTTTCCTGTCTTCATTTATGTTGGAAGTGATAGCAGAGCTGTACGTTTAAATTTTTTCAGAAAGCTCTCAGTCAGAACATGCAATATCATGCTTAGGTAACTAGAGAAAATAGCGAGCTAACTTCCGCTAGCTGTAATAAATTCTGTTTTCAAGGATGCCTGGATGTTAAACTTCATAGATAGCCTGGTAAAGCAGCAATGCTGATCATTTTATTAACCCTTTAAGACCTACCATAGAACCAAGTCCACCAGAGCTTATATTATATTTTTACATGTCGTAGTGCCATTTTTGGGAGCATTTCAAGTTGATATACATCAATACAACCATCATAGCCCAAATTTTAATAATATGTCTGCATTAAGTGCATAGTAATTACATAAATTGCAAAAAACTGCAATAAACTATAAAAAATTAAAAATCGTTTTTGTTTTTTTTTTAAACATATATTTCTAGTTAGAGAAATTTAAGAGGCTTATCCCTCAAAACTGTAAATACAAAAAAGTTGCACAAAATAGTTTCCCACCACAGGAAATTTATTTTAAGTGTCTTCGTAGTTTTTTGTTTTTTTTTTAAATACACCAAATTTTTATATACTGCAGGAAAAACGAAAATTAATATTATAATGCAAATTTGCAAAAAAACAGCATGTGCATCAAAATAAACTATTTCCAGCAGTGCAATATGAGTCCTAAGCATCCCAGAAACGACACAGAAAGTCATAAAGTCAAACATAACTTTTAAAAACACCAGTATAGGCTCATAAGGCCCTGATGAGTAAAAAAACTACATTTCCGCAAAATGACGTCACTTCCGGTTTTAGGCAGGTCATGGCGGACATGCGATAGTTCGCGCTGATGGACGTAGGAAGTGTTACAAACAGCTGATCGGATCGGCAAAGCGTGTTTCTGGAATATTATGTTTTTGTTGCTGCAAGCGCTTTTTATGCAGTTTTTGCAAAGCTATATGTGGAAGGAAACCGTGACCGAGGACAAGCTGATGGCATAAGATGTAAGTACAACTCCTCCGGTTTCATATGCAGAAGAAATTATTGTGTTAGCTTACGTGGTTGCAGTGCTACCGGGATTTAAAAATAGTTAAGCAAAACGGAGCGTGTCCGCTCCGACCGGCTTTAAAGGGTTAAAGATGAAATAATTTAGACAGTTTTTAACTCTCAGTGATGCTGCAGTGTTCGTTTGACTTTGGGACCTGAAGCGGACGGAGTTTAGGACCCAGATTACTCCCAGATTTACGAGCACCTTAGTCCGACAAATAAGGCAATAACGACGGCCCGCTTGCATGTTCTACAAAAAGAAATGTGCTTTAGCGGGTATCTGACGGACAAACCCCAAACCAGTTTCACATCACTGAAGTGGCACCATTTTTACAAACC